TGGAATATTTGGGGACGAATGAATAATTAACACGTTTGAGACAAAATCCTCGCGGTGCAAAGTGCACCGGGGGGAAGAATAAGAGCAGCTCGTCGTCCTCTCGCGTGTCGATAAAAACCCTCATCCCTGTTTAAAGGGAAATTTAGTTGCGACCGACTGCACGAGCTCGCCGAGAGACAACGTAAAACGCGGCCAGATATTAATTTATTTCTTTGCCGCGACGAGCACAGCTTTTTGATTCGCGACGGCTGACGCTCAACGAGCAATTTTAATTAAGTGACATCGCCGTGACTAACGCCTCGTCGTGCGCACGCACGCACGCAAGCACGCACGTAAACGCGTACGTATTACATACGTTAAATGCCGCCCGTGACTCAGGACTCGTTCCCGTGAGTTTTCAGGATTCTATCCGGTCGGTCTTCGCCAAAGGCGCCACGGCGGAATTTAATTACGTCTCTTCTGTCGTCGAAAAACAAGCCCTCTGCTGTCTCCCCTTCGTCAGCTTCAGCTGACCGAAATAGCCGGCGATTTGCCGAGAGTCATCGTTGCTTAATCACGCCACCGATTTTATCGACGGCGACGGGGCGACGCCGCCGCCGATACGACACGCGGCTCGTAACTTTTTCGATCCCCGGAGGATTTTAAAAGCGGCGTTTTCAGAGAAAGACCAACGAGAGAGAGAGAGAGAGAGAGAGAGAGAGAGAGAGAGAGAGAGAGAGAGAGAGAGAGAGAGAGAGAGAGAGAGAGACGTTAACTCGACCGATCGCTAAACTTCTCGCTTTACGTCCCGTGGACAAACGTATCGCTGCCGCGATATGGTCCCGACCATCGCTCGCCGACCGTTCGTCGCATGCCGCCGGCGAATTTTATTTCAGGATGAAAAATCCTCCTTTTGTCTTTGGGGAATCGGACCAGCGCGCGTGAGCTGGCCGCGAGCGACGTCCGTAGGCAGAAATCGGCTATTTTTGGAGCTTCTTCGTCTCGCCTCGCCGTGTGTCCGTCCTTCGCGTGTGTGCAGATGGCGCAGCGGTGCATTCGCGACGACCGCATTTTTCCGCGGCGCACTCTCGCGAAGGGGATACAAAAATATTTTCGCCAGAGCGGAAATTATATCGAGCTGCGCTGGGGCGTCTGTGATCGGGCGCGTGATGATGACGCGCGCGCAGTCAAGAGCCGGCGTGCGATCGCGCATGGAATATTGATACTACGGCTCGTGCGAGCGATGACGTCGCAAATGTCTATATCGCGTTACGCGATCACCCCGGCTCCCGATATGGATCGGCGCGTCGTTCGATTATACCTCATCGCGACGCAGTCGGCCGTGCGATTTGTCTCGGACGCCAACCTCGTCAACGATTCCACTTCCAAACAAGATCCAACGATCGATAACGCAATCCCGCGTTGAGCTCTTCCGCCTGCTTTCATCTCCCTGGCCTGGCCTGGCGTATTGCACGATTGCAAAAGGCACTTTTTAACCTCTGACCTTCCGCGTTTCTGCGCGACACGCGCGCGGCTTTTCTCCCGAGATTACGCAAGACTTCGTTGTGGAACGAAATTAATACAGAGGGCACGAGAATAAAGTCAAGTGTCTTTCTTCGAAGATGACTTCGAGAGACAAGGTAGGAGGTCAAAGAGATTCCTGAAGCTTCCGCTGGTATCTTATCCGGTGGTCCTATTATTATCCTGGTCGTTTTGTCTTATCGACGTTTAAAGTTAATGGGGATACTTGGTGGAACGATTTAGGAATCTGACATGCCTCGACGTTCGACGAACGAGCTTAGCTTTATCTTCCTTCAATTGCATATCTGACATCCTGCTGAAGTAGTCATCTTCGAGAAGTTCGGAAATATCCCGACTAGAAATTTATTCCATGGTCCTGATCAGGTTAACCTCATTTGGACATCACAGGTCCCAATAAAGTAACACCATCGGGTCCTAGTAAATCATGTGACGCAGCGTGGAGGACTTTAGTAAAGATTCATAGTCGGGTCCTTACTGAGTTACCTTATTACGTTTTTTTTCTTCTTTTCTAATTATGGCTCCTGATTACTCGCCACGGCTATATTGGATGATGACATTAGAAAGAAGAAATGACACGCTGAGAATTCTTTCATGTCATTTCCAGATAAAAAGATATTTGCATGAAATAATATTTTAGATCGCTCGAGCATACTTGTAAAATGCTTCGGAAAAGAAACATAAAATTAACGTCACGTTAATTTCACAACTATTTATTGACTGCTAAAAAGAAGGATAGTTTCTATAGCATTTTACAAATATATTCAAGTGATCTCAAGTGTTTTCTTCAATGCAAACATCTTTATATTTGGAAATGACACCGAAAAAGTGTTTCGTTAAAACTTGATCATGCAAATCATATCAGGTACAATGAATAAGATCCCGACAAGGACCTGATTAACTGAACCGAATATTATATCATGCACTAGGTTGGTACATCAAGGTCCTAATGCGGACCCAATCATTACAACCTTATAAAGGTCTTCCTGACACATTTGTCGTTAGGACATTATAAGGACTGACTTACTTGGGATTACCTTCCATTCACTCTATTAGGTCCTTATCAATGTTAAGTGAACCTGATCAAAGATCCAAATTTCTAGTCGGGATATTATATCATATACATTGAGGTTGATACATTAAGGTCTTAATGTGGACCCAATCATTATAACCTTATAAAGGTCTTTCTTACTCATTTGTCGTCAGGACATTATAAAGACTGACTTACTTGGGATTACCTTTCATTCACTCTATTGGAGTCTTTATCAATGTTAGGTGAACCTGATCAAAATTTCTAGTCGGGATGCGGACTAGAGAAACTTCTTTCGGGCTTTGTCGCGATTTTCTCTCACGATTCCCGTGTCACCCTGCTGTTGCACCTGTCCCCGCTAGGCGTCGCGTAAAATAGTCCTCTCTCTCTCTCTCTCTCCCTCTCCACCTCCGGAGATGCCGAGGCTTCCGATTTTCGGGCGACCCTCGGCGACAGTCGTGCAGAAAGTCGCCGATCGTTATTGCACGCATGTGAATGGCACAACGACCGTGACACTTTTCGAAGTTTATGGCGTTCGGTCCCCGACAGGACAATGTTAAAGGGCGACACCCCCCGAGGTAATGCAGTCGGCGAGAATATACGGTTACTTGGTGGGGTGCTTTTGTCGACAGGGAGAGTATACTCGGCGACTTCGCTCGTGAAATGAAGCGATTCGCGCGAGCCGCGTTTTTCTTGCAACTCTGCGCGGCGCGGCGCGGCGCGGCGCGAGACGGATTTTCGCGGGGAAAAATCGAATTGGCGCTGTTCGAGCGCGCGCGCGCGCGGCGTATACTCACCGTAGCGAAACGCGCTGAGTCACGCGAGCCGGCTTTTCGTCTGGTAAACGGCGCCGCCATTCCGGTCGGGCGTGCGCCTAATAATGTCTCGCGGCTTCGTCGGTGCGCGCGCGCGCGAGACACGCGCGCGATTTTGCTCGAGCGCGGCAACTATGCGGATTTTTACACACGATACTCTGCACGCTGCGACATGCTGAATGGCGTTGCTGCGATTACGCGTTACGCAGCGTAGTAGTATTTTGCTACCAGGGTTAGTAATAGCAGCAGCAGCAGCAGCAGCAGCAGCAGCAGTAATAGTAGCGGCACTTAACGGTGAAAGTGTGTCACCGCGTTTTTAATTTGCGCCCCGCCGTCATAGATCGGCGCGCGGTCTTGAAACCTTCGCGCGTCATACTGAGATCGAGTTCCTGCATCCTGTGTATTTGCCGGCAAAAAGCGCGGCAAAAAGCCGCGGAAAAATCGGTTTCCGTATCCTTTCCGTCGTCGCCGTCGTAGAAAGGCGAGCGAGCCGCCCCGATACCGATTACCGGCTCGCGATGCACGCGCGCGTGTAAGTATGCATTGCGGGCGGAGTATTGCGATGATCGAAACGGAGAGCGAGATAAAGAAGACGGAAACGAGTTATTGATAGCTGGTTGTTGTACAAAACCGTCGCCTCAAGCGTCTCTTCTCGCTCTACCGATCGATCGCCGTGCGGTCGCGTAGCGGTGCGATCGTAACATTCCGAGAATACAAATCCCGCGCGAGCTATTCTGTTCTCGTCGGTACAATGTCACGCTTGTAAATATACGATATACGGCCGAAGACTCTCTTCATGATTTCGCGCGCGAGCTGTGCCAACGGCGTCACGCCGCGCCGGTGAATTAAATCTTATCTAAATACGAAAGATAAGTCGCGCGATGTTATCGACAATACAAATAATTCTCGATTACACTGATAGGAGAGAACGAATGTAAGCAAACCAACGCGTGACTCTAACCAAGGTTTACGATAACAGTCGACCACGCTGCGCTGTGTGTACGGTCAAGGTGACTCTGCAAATATTTTCAATTCGCGACCGTGAAGGACGGATCCGCGTGAATCGACGTGATTTTCCGCGTCCGATCCCTTCGAGCTTCGCCCGACGTGACTTGATCGATGCGAAAAAAATCGGGGGGGGGGGGGGGGACGGCGAGAAATGCGCTGTCGCGAAAAAAATGGCAAAAATTGGTGGCGTCGCGAGGGTTGCGCGCGTAAACACGATTAAAGACCCACGAGGGTTGCGCACTCACCTCTCTCTCTCTCTCTCTCTCTCTCTCTCTCTCTCTCTCGTTCAAGCAGAGAAAGAGAAAGCCGAGTGACGCAGATGGTGAATGGAGGGGGATCGAGCAAGAGGAGCGTGGAGGGCACACGATGCGCGCTCTCGCTCGCGTATTGCCCGTTTCGCTCGGCGATCAGTCGTTCGCCGCGCGCGCGCCAAGCTGCCACGTTGTGTCGGCGCGTCGTCGTAGCGTCGTAATTTCCACAGTTGGTGTCGAACCGCGTGCGAGGTCCCACCGCCGTCGGCCGGGGGATGATCGATCACAACACCCCTTCGGAGCACGAGGCGCAGTGATAACGCTCCGCACGCTCGGGGGTTGGGAGGGTTGTATCACCGCCGCTGTGAGTACCGAAGCGGAGGACGGGGGAGAGAGAGAGAGAGAGAGAGAGAGAGAGAGAGAGAGCGAGTGTCGCCGCAGGTAGTGACGTCGAGCGTACGTGAACATGTACCTTTTGTGTTGTGTCCGTCGCGCGACACGATCCTTCGCGGAGCAAATCGACATCGCGCATCGAGCGGACGTTTGACGGACGCAACGAACGCGCCCGCGTGTCGATAAAAGTTCACCCCTCCCCAACCCCCCTGCCGACTGATCGGACTATCGCGCGGCGCGCTGTTGATTTCGAAGTAATCAGCTTTCTCGTTATTCATACCGAAGGATATACCGAAGCGTCGATAGCATATAACGCAATATAGATATACAAGGACGTTCGTCGCGCACATATCACGTCGTATCGTACGGTCGCGCGCTCGGCGAGTTTCGAGATATCGAAGGCGGCGATCGATAGCAGCGCCCCGTGCTGCAGTCGTCGTGCTTGTCGCTTTGCGCGCGAGAAACCACTCCGAGCGCGAACGTCACGCTCTTTCGGCTCGAAAGTCGTGATCGAAAGCGCCGCGCCGGTGCGGACCGGCCACGGCGAATCCTTATCCTCGGTGACTGAAATTCGTTCGACGCAAGTGACGCACGTGTGATCGAGAGGAAACACACACACACACACACACACACACATCGACAATTGGAGCGCGCTGGAGACGCAAATCGACGCGTTTCAGCGCCCGTATAATAGATGAGGCGATTATTGTGCAATTAATTCGCCGTTCGAACTGCGGTATCGCGGTAAACACACACTTTCCTCCGTCATCACACGTCCGCCCCTCGCTCTCTCCTTGCCCGAGGGCGAAAGCGAAGACGAGGTGACAAGATGACATCGCGGAATCATGACAGATCGGAGGAATCGAGCCGCTGCGGCTGCCAGCGCCGATCCGATTGAGCGAAAACGCAGCTGGAATCGTCTGCGCAGCTGGAAATTAGTTCCAGCGGGAAGTCGAGATATCGGTGCCGTCGTAGTCGCAGGCTGATCTCGGTGGAGCCTCCGTTGCTCTCGGGGGCGATAATAACTCGGCGAGAGCTCTCGCGTGTCCTTCCCGCGACGCGCGTTGAGAGCGGCGGCGGGCGTCGATCGAATTAAAAAACATATAGCAGGCGACGATCTACAAGGAGGACAAGTGAGCGCGAGACGGACGGTAACGAGGCGAGGCGGGACGCACAGCGGAAGGAGCGTCGTTGTCGCCAGTGGAAAGGAGGTCCCAGCCGGCGCCTTCGTCTCTCTCTCCTCTTGCTCCGCTCACGACGAAGCCGGCGAACGAAACTACGACGATCGGCAGCTGCCGAGCGAAGATTACGCGCGAGAGGCACGGCACGGCGCTCTTTTCTTCGTTCCCTCGGTGGACGTGCACGTCGGCACGGCGGCAAGGAGGAGAGACACTACCAAGTGCAGTGTGTTATTTCGGTGTTACTTGGGCTTATCCGGCGCGGACGAGTAGAGAGGTTTGCCTGCGGGAGAAGTCGCACGGGCGGGGCGAGTGGGAATGCGCGAGAGCGATCGGTATGACGAGAGACGCGAATTGATGCTCCGCGAGCGAGAGGACGCGCTCGGGAAAGAAGCCAGGATGATGATGGCGCCGCAGATCGTGGGTGTCCTGCTGAAGAAACCGGGTCAGCAGACGCACCCACGATTACCACCCTTGGACCCGCAGGAGACCAAGATCAAAGGTAAGCCTCGACAGGTTATCCCTCGCGAGCGCGAACTTTAGAACAGAAAGCGCACCCCTCTGGTTGGTGCGCGCGCATTCTCGCTAATTGGCACACAGCGAACGTGGCTATCTTCTAATCCTCCTCCGCGTTGAAACAGCGTCGAGAGAGAGAGAGAGAGAGAGAGAGAGAGAGAGAGAGAGAGAGAAAACAGCCGACTTTCGTGCAGAGTAAACAGAATTTCGAATCAGACGTCTGCATTTAACTCGAAACGATTTTGCCGCTGCACAACGGTGGGTCGCGACGAGTCTCATTGCACAATGCTGATATCGTGTGAAACACAAGTTAATTACCTACCGCTGCAACTGCAAGGAAGAGATAGATATCGATCTCTCGATGCGACATCGTAGCGTCGTCTCGAACGATCGTGAGTCGCCCTCTATCGATTTGGAGCACCTCTGCTTCATCCTTGGCGATAGATATGCGAATTGAAGACGTTACGCGTCCTTCACGACGCGACAGGGTCGCGTGGCTGCGTCGATCGAGTTAAAAAGATGCCAGGCGCGCCTGTCCGCGCGAGCAAGAGCGATACGGGAACGTTAAGAATCGCGAATAAATTGACGGAGGAATGGCTTTCGGCTGTTCGATTCGACCGAGGGAGTTTTCAAAGACACCGCGTGTGTCCTTTCCTGGGCGCTCGGAACGGCGCAGGAACCGTTTCGTCAATTTAATCTTCACGTGGCTAATTAGCGCGGTCGAGTTTCCAATTCAATGACTGACCAGTCCCAATCGCGCGCGCGTGTTTATCAGTGAGTCATCATTCCCGTCGTAACGAAGCGGCGAACAGGCGCGCGCGCGCGCGGCTCCTCGCGCTCTCTCAGAGTACCTGAACAATCGATCAGTCCCTTCCGGTGCTCCCCTCGCAGATACGTGCGGAAGATTACCGGACCACACCGGAGGAGAAGAAGTTATTTTCATTGTGACGGGCCCCATAAATGTGTGTGTGTGTGTGTGTGTGTGTGTGTGTGTGTGTGTGTCTGCGGGTTACATCTTGTAAACAGGCGGTCGGCAGACGTAAACTCGCTCTGTTCACCGCGCCGGGTCGCTCGCTGCCACTCCGAGCGGCGCGCCGGCGTTACGTTATCGGAGAATATTATGATTCATCGGAGCGTGTTGTTACAACAACGAGGCGCCTTATCGGCCGCTGTAATGAGCGAGCCGAACGAACATTCCCTGAAATGCCGGGGAACTTTCGCTCTGGCCGACCAACGCGGCGCTCTATCGATCTTCGCCAATATATATATATATATATATGTGTATGTATATATATATATATATATATGTATATATTCTCTTTCCCTCTTCCTCTGCTCCCTCGTTCTCCGCGCAGGAATGCACGCTCGCTTTTTCATTGATTAATGGCTAAACGGAGCGTGGCGTGACTTGAGCGCGAAATTAATGCACGGCCGGGTAAACCACGCCTAAAAATACTTGAAAACAGCGCGCGTTTATCTACGCCGTCGACGACGGGCCGACACGAGACGGGACGGGACGATCCGTCACGTGAGGATCCTCCGACCACGGCGGCGCGGCGGTGGCGTAAGCTGCAAACGCGGCAATTGAAGATTAAGTGGCTATCCGTAGCGGCCAGCTTGTTTACTCTGTTATACCGATCAGCCGAGCCGACGCCTCGTGCCTCCGTTAACAATTATGTTAATGGGACGGCGGCCCATGTCGTGAGACGATAACGGCGCAAATGTAGTGCGCGCGAGAGCACGAGTCGCTGATGAAAAAGAGAGGAGGAAGATCGAGAGAAAAAGCGAGGAGAAACACGAGCGAATACGCGCGCGCGCTTTCTCTGGGAAATTTATCAGATACATTTTCAGGCATCGGTGACTTGAAGAGATGGCGATATACATATGGAGTTTACGCCGGTAAACTCCGCGATCGCGACACCACGGAATCAGCTGGTATCGTTTGAGCTTCCGCTCACTCCGAGTGCTCGCTAGGGATGGACGATCCAGGTATCGATATTTTAAAATATCGATACCTTTGGATGTAAATTTTGTATTGATATTTTTTTTTTCAATGTTACTGCGTATCGATACTTCAAGAGCAATATCGGACTCCCGATACTGCTCAATACGAATCATTAGTATTGTATTGGGCGAAAATTTTAGCGTACCGAAACTTTTGGAACTAGCGCTGCCAACCAAACAGGCATTCTCAGTTCCGTTTGCGTTTGAATTGTCGCAAAGCGTCGCAGATTTAATGGCGAATTCGATTGACATGCACTCGCTCCGTTCCTAGTGCCTAGTAACTTTTTGTTATTAGGGGTACTTTTATGCCAACCTGAGCGCGGGTAATTTAAGAAGCTTTCTGAAGCTCGCGTACATATCATGTAATTTGTTAAAAGCACTCCGTCCTAAAGAAAAATGTCGCTGAGACTAAACAAATAATATTTTTAATCCGCACACATTCAGGCCGGTATTCATAGTCGGGGGGATCTTGTATTTAAGATAATCTTAAGTCTTAAGGTCATCTTCAGATACTGTATGAATCGTTTCGTTGGCTACATAGTCTATCTAAACATGAACTTAAGACTTAATATAAGGACTTAAATATAAGGCTGCGTTCAGAAAACACAACGATCGAGCAATTCCTCGATGTAATTGGATCCCTTCCTCTTTTCCTATGAAATGACTAGAAGGAATACATGTATTTCTGACGCATTCCGAAAACGGTAACTATAACAAATTTTAGTATAAACAAGTATAAATCAATAAAAAAAAAACATATAGTAGATACATAGTAAAAAATAAGGATACCAGTGGTATCGATATTTTTACTTACGATACGTATCGAAATATCGATATTTTCTATTGTATCGCCCATCCCTAGTGCTCGCTGTTAAAGTTGCGGGATATCGCGAGCGACGTCACGTTCCGTTCTCTCCCTCCCTCTCTCTCTCTTCCAACGGCCCTTTTAAAGGGAAATTCGCGAATTTCGCAAGGCTGAGAGCGGAGGCACGGCATAGTTTGCAACAAGCATACGCGAGCACGCGCTTCGCAACGTCTGGCAACGGACGGGCCTTTTAGAAGCCCGTCTCGTTCGTACACGATTGACAATTCGTGCTCCGTAATCCGGTATCTGGGCTACCGTGGTAACGGGATACTTTTACGTGGCCGTCCACTCCGGGGAACGTGAAAACGGGGACTCTCTAGCGAAGCGCGCGCGCGGTCATCCGACCGGGAAAAACGTGTTTCTGCGGATACACCGCCGAATACACGCGCGCATAGGAGACGGCTGAATCGCGGCGGCGGCGGCGGCGGCTGAGAAAATTGAGATCGCGCCGCAATTAGCGGGAGTCTCGAGTTCAACGCCGAGCGCGTTAAGTGACCTCGATTGCGCCGGCGGCGCAACGTAATTCGAAGGTTCGTGCCGTGTCTCGTGCCGTACAACAGTCATTCTTTTAGCGGCGTACGCAGAAGCGCCGAAAGCGACGATGACGCGTGCCACGCGCCGCAAAAATAGACGATTGTTCGGCGTTTCGGGCAAAGCGGAGGGAGGGCGGGGGCGGGGGCGGGGGGCTTCGCCGAATTGCCGCGTTACCTAGATGTGGCGTGTTTGCTTATCTAATCCCACGAATCTATCGCAGATAGCTGCGAATGCGAACGGCGGATGTTTCACCGCCGAGGAGGATTTCGCGTATATACGCGTTGCGCGTTGCGTCGCGGCTGATAAAGACGCTCGTTTCGGGCGCGCGCGCGCGTTCGCTGGAGCTGGACGAAACTGATACGGCCGGTTCATTTTTTCACGTTCGAACGTTCGCCAAGTACTTACTCGCCCGCCTGCCTACCTAAATTCCTGCGTTTACGACGGGTCAGGGAACAGTAAAAAGAAAGCGGGCGAACGCCTATCGGCTAAGCGGCCAGCGCCGCTTTTCACGGCTGCTTTCTGTAACGAATCCCCCCTCTTATTCTCCACGTGACTTTGCGCCCTGCGAGAACTCGACCATCGTCGTCGTCGTCGTCGTCGTCGTCGTCGTCGCGTGTGCCACCCTTTCTCTTCTAACGGGAACATTATTAAACTTGCCGGATTTTCCGTTTCATTGCACATTCGACGAGAGGCGCTTACGACATCGGCGCAGGCCAATCCCGCTATTGCGAAATCTCCCCGTATAACGAGGCATACCTTCCCCCCTCCCCCTCCCGCCCGACCAACTCCCCCTTGACTCGATATCGGCTTTATATTATAATTTCGACTGCAACTGCATTCACCGTTAATTATCTACCGGCACGAAACGCGAAACCGAGAAATATCGCGCTCTTACGGAAAGGAACCTTGTATAAGCTTTAATTACTCTCAACGTAACAGATTCTGATAATTCTCTCGCTTGACTTGAAAAGGATTTATTGTGCCGAGAGAACCGAGTTGATAAAAGTCTCATTCAATCACACACATCAACGTTTTCCTCTCTCTCTCTCTCTCTCTCTCTGTTTCCACCTCTGTTGCTCTCTTCCCTCCTTTCTCTCTTCTGCCCGACTCGCTTTGCAATTTTCGCGAAATAAGAGTCGAGTCTCTGTCGAACATAAAGGAGCTCTTTGTGGCGCGAAGGGGCACTGCGGCCATGTTAATAGCCAATGGGGCCCTTTAAAAATCCACGAGACACGAGCGCACGCGAGGCGGCTGTCGACGTACCGCTGGTGACGTGCACGTCTCGCACTTCTTCTTCGTCCTTGGCGCGTGCAGCCGGAAAACTGGATTTCAAGGTGTTGCTGCTGCTGCTGCTGCTGCTGCTGAGTCTCTCCATTGGAGGTTTGTCGTTTTACGAGTCGACGATTTCGAGGATATTCTTCGCCAGATGAACGAATCTGTTTTCTACGTACTACGTACTTTCATTCGCCGCTCGCGGCGTTCCTGCTGCGTAAAAGAGCGATCTCTCGCTCTTTTTCCCTTACCTCCTCGTTCTTACTCTTTCTATCTTTTTTTCTCTTCTCCGACGTCGACGGACGACTTAA